CACATCACTCACTGTCTCTGCAACGGGAGAAGCCTGGTTTATGAATCAAGAAATGATTCCCAGAGCCGTGACCCACAGGACACACAGGGCGCCTCATCGTTCCTCCCAGCGGACGGCGATTAAACCGCATCATAAAGCCAGCAGCGATCGATCCGGAGGGGGTCGGAAGTTTGTTCCGGCTTTTGTTTGAAATTGCCAACCACATCTGCAAAAGCTGACGTGCCCTTTAGGTCGAGCGCTGCGGGAAAGCCGAGCCGGCATCGGAACACCCGGACTGAGGGCTGCGGACGCGTGTGTCCTGCGGGGCCACCCCCGCCGTGGACGTCTCTTTTTCTCCCCTGCCCCTCACCACCCTCCACGTCTCTGAGCTTCTACCTCTGCCTCTTCTGGTCCTCAGACCTGGAACTGTTGCCGGGTTTTGGGGTGCACGGGAGCGCTCAGCGCTCCTGAGAGAAGAAGACGTTGTTCCAGGGTCTTGGTCTCTCACTCATCCAAGAACAGGACAGGGGACCACGCCCGGCACGGTACACTTGTCAATACCGGACCCCAAAAAGGTTTTATAGAAAGCGATTTATTTAGGCAGAGAAAGAAAAAGGAGAGAGAAAAAGATGAGAGAGAAAAACGCTTCCGTGAAGAGTGTGGAAGGGGACCCAAGCATGGAATCCGAAGGGGTGTGGGAGGAGGGGACTTTGCACCTGCGAGAAACTCCCTCCCTCTCCAAGTCCCCTGGCCAATGAAAGGAATTCCTTTAAACTTCCGCTAGAGTGACTGACTTTTGATTCTTTCCTGAGCCCTCAAAAATCAAAACAGAAACCGTTAAATCTCCCGGATGGAGAGGCCTGGGAGCGGGCAGGTGCATGGTGCTGGGAAGTTCTTGCCCCTTGTGGACCCAGAAAGAAGAGAGTCTTCCATGCACAATCCCGCTTCACATCACCCGACGGACCTCCACTCTGAGCTCACAGCCTCAGCCCCAGACCGGAGCTTCAGACCCCAAAACTCACGCTTAGCCCTACAATGACCGCTTCCTAAAATACTGAAGTCAACTCTATTTACAAAACACTACTCTAAGCAGATGCAGTGGCCCGTGCATACGATCCCGGCACTTTGGGAGGCCGAGGTGGGAGGATCACTTGAGGTCAGGAGTTGGAGACCAGCCTGACCAACGTGGTGAAATCTCGTCTCTACTAAAAATTCAAAAATTAGCCGGGTATGGTGGCGGGCACCTATAATCCCAGCTACTTGGGAGGCTGAGGCAGGAGAATTGCTTGAACCTGGGAGGCGGAGGTTGCAGTGAGCCGAGATCGCACCATTGCACTCCAGCCTGGGCAACAGAAGATTCCGGGCTGGGCAACAGAGTAAGACTTCGTCTCAAAAAACAAAACAAAAAAACCCCACTACTTTTAGCGTCAAAATTCGACAAAGCTTCCATTTAGCCAAGTACACATATATAGTCACTCAATAAGGAGAGATCATTCAAAATTCCTTTTTGAAAAGAATCTGGTTTCTGGCTGTGTTTCTAGACGTTGGTCATGGGGGAAGCAGCATCTGGGACACAAAAATTCAGAAACGCATTGGTGGGAGGGACATCTAGACACCCCCAAAGGACGCAGGAGAGCCCGTGGCTGAAGGAGTCCTGGAGTGGGCCATGCCACGCGCTGGAGAAGCGGGAGGAAAGGAGGTTCCTGGTCCTGAACTGTGCCCCTGGGTCCACTGGAAACTCAGGTGCATGAACTGCAGTTGGGGGGCAAGGGAACAAAGCTGATGCCAAGGGGAGGCCCAGGAGGAGGAAGGGGAGAGGCCCCTTTTCTGCCAAGAACATTCCTTAGCGAGGGACCATGCGGGGACGGGACAGTATCCTCTGCTGGTTTTCCCAGCTGAAAAAGCCACTGGCAATTAGAAGTTTTGCTCTAATAATGTTCTCTATCCATATCTATTAATGCTTTGCATGCATGAAAGAGGCAAGCAATTCTCCTGCCTCCGCCTCCAGCAGCTGGGACTACAGGTGCGCACCACCACCCCTGGTTAATTGCTTGTAATTTTAGTAGAGACGGGGTTTCACCAGGTGAGCCACGCTGGTCTTGAACTCCTGACCTCGTGATCCGCCCTCCTCGGCCTCCCGAAGTGCTGGGAAGCATCTGCTGTGGAATGTTCTCATCTGCCTGGCTTTGGCTCTTCGCCTGCAAACTCGATGTCACCCGAGTGTAGAGTGGCTTCCCTTAGCTCCTCTCCAGGCACCTCCGCCCTTGGTGTTCCCCATGACTTCCGGGTAAGGCCAGCGCCTTTTCAGGATGGCTGAGCCCCGCACACGGTCTCTTGATGTGGTTAAATTTCTCAAGAAGCTGGGGGTTTTTTGTTTGATTTTTGAGATGGAGTTCTGCTCTTGTTGCCCGGGCTGGCGTGCAGCAGCACAATCTTGGCTCACTGCAACCTCTGCCTCCCGGGTTCAAGCCACTCTCTTGCCTCAGCCCCGGAGTAGCTGGGACTACTGGTGCCCACCACTATGCCTGGCTCATTTTTGTTTTTTGAGACGGAGTCTCACTCTGTCGCCCAGGCTGGGGTGCCGTGGCATGATCTTGGCTCACTGCAACTTCTACCTCCCATGTTCAAGCAATTCTCCTGCCTCAGCCTCCTGAGTAGCTGGGATTACAGACACCCACTACTGCGCCTGGCTAATTTTGGTATGTTTAGTGGAGACGGGGTTTCACCATGTTGCTAGGGCTGGTCTCGAACTAACTCCTGACCTCCTGATCCTCCCACCTCAGCCTCCCAAAGTGCTGGGATTACAGGCGTGAGCCACTGTGCCCGGCGAAGCTGGGTTTTAAATGAGTGAAAACTCTGCTCCAACACGAGAGAACTATCTAGAAGCTGAAGACTGCTGCCCGAGCCATCATCTCCCACGGAAGTCTGCAGCATCGATACCCTGGCTCAACTGTCAACTCTGACAACTTCATACACTCCCCGGGAGGGGCACACAACCCCAGCACAGCCCACAGGCCCCTAATGACACAGAAGGCCCCACAGTACACCGCGCCACACCCCCCAACATCCCTGCAGGGTTAACCGTGGCAGGCCCTCTTGTTCCAATTACTTTCGTTTTTGCTGGGAGAAGGATGGATAATCTGGAAGGTTCCCAGCCCCTTGGGTACCCACTGGGGGAGCAGGTGGATGGAGGCGTGTTGAAGAAGAGACCAAGTTACTTCCCCGGCTCCCCCTTCTCTCTTTTTGAGACAGAGTTTTGCTCTTGTTGCCAAGGCTGGGGTGCAATGGTGTGATCTCGGCTCACCGCAACCTCCTTTCTCCTGGGTTCAAGCAATTCTCCTGCCTCAGCCTCCCAAGTAGCTGGGACTACAGGTGTGCACCACCACGCCCGGCTAACTTCTTTATTTTTAGGAGAGATGGGGTTTCACCACATTGGCCAGCCTGTTCTTGAACTCCTGACCTCAGGTGATCTGTCCATCTCAGCCTCCCAAAGTGCTGGGATTACAGGCGTGAGGCACGGCCTGTACATGGCCCAGCCACCCGTTCTCTCAAACTCTTCCTTTTGCACCCCTGGGAACCTCATCCCATGTGACAACCCCCACCACTCCCGGTTTCTGGTTTCAGCTAGGCCACCAGCTCAACACTTTAAAAAACATCTCGCGAACGCACGCCCTCCTCTGCACCCCACGGCCACGGCACTCACTCGAACCTCTGTTCTTGCTCTTCTCGGTCTCCCTGACTCCAGTATCCGCTGTCCTTCCTCTCCAGCCCACCTCAAGTAAGAGGCTTCTAAACTGTACATCTGATGACATCAGTCCTCTGTTTACTGTGCCCCTGAGTATCGGAAAAATCAGACTCTGCCCAGGTGTGGTGGTGCACGCCTGTCATCCCAGCACTTTGGGAGGCTGAGGTGGGCGGATCACTTGAGGTCACGGGTTTGAGACCAGCCTGGCCAACATGGTGAGAACCCGTCTCTACTAAAAATACAAAAATCAGCTGGGTGTGGTGACGTGCGCCTGTAATCCCAGCTACTCGGGAGGCTGAGGCAGGAGAATCGCTTGAAGCCGGGAGAGGGAGGTCGCAGTGAGCCGAGATTGTGCCACTGCACTCCAGCCTCGGCGACAGAGTGAGACTCCATCTCAAAAAACAAAACGAAACGAAACAACAAGTCCTACAAGACGCTTTCCCCTCACCGACTGCTGGGCGCGGAGGGGCGCGTGGTCTCCGTCTCTGCAGACGTGTGTTGCTCTGGATGAGACATAACAGTGCCCTTGATGAATAAAACAATTCATTAAATCGCAGCCTCTGCTCTTTACAGACTAGGAGGACGCTGCCTGGGGGCTTCTCGGAGCACTCGGATAACGCTTTGGCAAGTGCGTAATTTATTTCTCAAAACACTAGCAGGCCCTCCTGTTCCAATTACTTTTTTTTGTCTGTTTTTGTCTTTGTTTTTGTTTTTGTTTTAAGATGGGGTTTCACCATGATGGCCAGGCTGGTCTTGAACTCCTGACCTCAGATGATCCACCCCACTTGGCCTCCCAAAGTGCTAGGATTATAGGCGAAAGCCACCGCGCCCAGCCGGGTTTTTTTTTTTTTTTTTTTTTTTGAGACAGGGTCTCACTCTGTCACCCAAGCTGGAGTGCAGTGGTGTGATCTTGGCTCACTGCAGCCTCTGCCTCCTGGGCTGAAGCAATCTTCCCACGTCAGCCTCCCAAGCAGCTGGAACTACAGGCATGCACCACCAACCATGCCTGGCTGACTCTTAACACTTTTTTGTAGAGATGGGGTCTCACTATGTTGCCTAGGCTGATCTGGAACTCCTGGGCTGACGCGATCTGACCCTTTGGACTCCCAAAGGGAGTCGGGATTACAGGTATGTCCCACCGCACCTGGCTCCAGCTAGTTGTCAATCTTGCCAGCCGCAGTGAGGCAGCCCCTGACCAGCCCACTTCAACCCAAAGTTGCCGAGAAGAAGGCCAGCACTGCCCAGGGTCCTGGGGACTGCCCAGCTGGGGCCCTACCTGCCACCTGCAGAATGCCATGTCTGGCCACGTCGTAGAACGGGTGACTTGTGCTCAGCGTGGGGTCCTGGCCAGCCATGGGTACCACCGAGGGCCTCCTCCTCCCGGCAGCCAGCACAGCAGCCACTGCCTCGTCTCTGCAGCTCTGCGGCAGACAGGGAACATTAAAGGAAGTCAGTGCGTTCTGCAGTAAGGAGGGCAGTGAGGGAGCCTCCTGATGCCCTTTCAGAAGGCAGTCCCCCCGCCTCTGCTGCACACACACTATACTCTGTACCTCAGCCATGCACCCACTATGCGCTCTGCCTCAGCTGCGTACCCACTATGCATCCCCTCAGCCACGCACCCACTATGCGCTCTGCCTCAGCTGCGTACCCACTATGCATCCCCTCAGCCACGCACCCACTACGCACCCTACCTCAGCTGTGTACCCACTATGCATCCCCTCAGCCACGCACCCACTATGCGCCCTGCCTCAGCTGCATACCCACTATGCATCCCCTCAGCCACGCACCCACTACGCACCCTACCTCAGCTGTGTACCCACTATGCATCCCCTCAGCCACGCAGCCACTATGCACCCTACCTCAGCTGCGTACCCACTATGCATCCCCTCAGCCACGCACCCACTACGCACCCTACCTCAGCTGTGTACCCACTATGCATCCCCTCAGCCACGCACCCACTATGCACCCTACCTCAGCTGTGTACCCACTATGCATCCCCTCAGCCACGCAGCCACTATGCACCCTACCTCAGCTGTGTACCCACTATGCATCCCCTCAGCCACGCACCCACTATGCACCCTACCTCAGCTGTGTACCCACTATGCATCCCCTCAGCCACGCAGCCACTATGCACCCTACCTCAGCTGTGTACCCACTATGCATCCCCTCAGCCACGCACCCACTATGCACCCTACCTCAGCTGTGTACCCACTATGCATCCCCTCAGCCACGCACCCACTATGCGCTCTGCCTCAGCTGCATACCCACTATGCATCCCCTCAGCCACGCAGCCACTATGCACCCTACCTCAGCTGTGTACCCACTATGCATCCCCTCAGCCACGCACCCACTATGCACCCTACCTCAGCTGTGTACCCACTATGCATCCCCTCAGCCACGCACCCACTATGCACCCTACCTCAGCTGCGTACCCACTATGCATCCCCTCAGCCGTGCACCCACTATGCACCCTACCTCAGCTGCGTACCCACTATGCATCCCCTCAGCCACGCACCCACTGAGCATTCTCTCTCGATCGTGTACCCACTACGTGCCCATCCAGTATCCTGCACCACGGAGGGAAGAAAAAAGATCTAAGGGTCGGATACTGTCCACAGTGATAGGAGTGGCAAGTAAGGCTCAGACAGGGAGAGTGACTTGCTCATTGCCAGCAGGGTGCGGACTAAACCTTGAACCTCCAGCTCCACATCCCAACCCAGGCCCTCCATGAAAGACCCTGGCACTGGCAGCCAGCAGGCCGCCAGTGCCGCCCAAAGTGCCAGGGCGGGCTGGGGGTGAAGGCAGGCACTGGGGTCACCGCCATGTGAGGAAGAAGGAAAAGGCTGCCTTCCTGAGCAGAATCTTAGCAGGGAAGGTTCTTATGCAGAACAAATCAGCGTTTTTAAGAGAAAATGTTTTCAGTTACAAAAATTAATGGGCATTTTGAGTTTCGAGGTTAGAGTAGACATAGGACCCGCACAGGTAGGGGGTTGAAGAGTATCCCTCCCAATATGCCTCTTGGAGCTCAGAATGTGACCTTATTTGGAAGTTGGTCAGGTCTTTAGAGATGTAATTAGTTAAGATGAGGTCAGCTGGGTCAGGGTGGGCACCGAATCCAATGACTCGGGAGACACAAGCGGAGAGCGTGAGAGGATGGAGGCGGAGACTGGGGGGCTGCGGCTGGAAGCCAAGGACACCAGGAACCACCAGAAGACACAGAAAGGGCCCTCCCCTGGAGCCTTCACCTTGACTTTGGACTTGTGGCCTCCAGAACTGAGACAGTGACCTGCTGTCTTAAGCCACAGGGTTGTGGCACTTGGCTGGTGGCCCGAGGAGATGGGTAGAACCAGGTCCTGTGGAATTAGGAGGCCCAGGGCATGATGGGGCCGGTGAGGGTGCCCAGGAGGAAGCACTGGCTTTTCTAACGAATTCTGCAGGTGATTCTAGCGCAAAGGCAGGTTTAAGATTCACTCATCCAGACCAACATCCCATCGAGAAGGGAGCGTAAGGCGGGGCCCGAGGGCTGCCCCACACGGTCTGGAAGCTGCCTCCTGCGCCTCCTTGCCCACTCGGTCCCGGTCCTTGGGGTATTTACTCAGCACCACTCTGCGGGCATGGGGTGGGGGATAGGGCCAAGAACCCTGTTCATCAACAGGTGTGACTGTCCCAGCGTGGGGTGAGTAGGGGGTGCCACAGAACGCCCCTCCTCCTTCCAGTCAACACATCTACATTGAGTACCTACTATGTGCCAAGAACACTTTCAGTGAGGACCCGAAAGCAACAGAGGCAAAGCCCCTGTGTGGGGCAGAACAGAGGCCTCCCAGCGATGCCCACGTCCTACTCCCGGGAACCCATGCATGTGACCGTCGGTGGCAAAAGGGACTCTGCGGGTGTGATTAAGGATCTTGAGGCCAGGCACAGTGGCTCATGCCTGTAATCCCAGCACTTTGGGAGGCTGAGGCAAACAAATCATGACGTCGGGAGTTCAAGACCATCCTGGCCAATATGGTGAAACCCCATCTCTAATAAAAATACAAAAGTTAGCCAGGTATGGTCGCATGTACCTGTAGTCCCAGCTACTCTCAAGGGTGAGGCAGAATAGCTTGAACCCTGGAGGTGGAGGTTGCAATGAGCCCAGGTGGCATCATTGCACTCAGGCCTGGGTGACAGAGCAAGACTCTGTCTCAAAAAAAAAAAAAAAAAAAAAAAAAAAAAGAAGCCAGGCGCGGTGGCTCAAGCCTGTAATCCCAGCACTTTGGGAGGCCGAGGCGGGTGGATCACGAAGTCGAGAGATCGAGACCATCCTGGTCAACATGGTGAAACCCCGTCTCTACTAAAAATACAAAAAATTAGCTGGGCATGGTGGCGCGTGCCTGTAATCCCAGCTACTCAGGAGGCTGAGGCAGGAGAATTGCCTGAGCCCAGGAGGCAGAGGTTGCGGTGAGCCGAGATCGCGCCATTGCACTCCAGCCTGGGTAACAAGAGCGAAACTCCGTGTCAAAAACAACAACAACAACAACAACAAAAACAAAAACAACAAAAAAAAACAACAAAAAAAAGAATCTTGAGATAAGTGGATTATCATGGATTCTAGTTGGGCCCAAAGCACAGCTGTCTCCCAGTATTCCGGAGGGACTGGTTCCGGGACACCCCTCAGGGATACCAACATCTTTGGACGCTCAAGGCCCTGGCAGAAAATGGCACAGTGTTTGCATGGAACCTACACACATTTTCCCGTACAGTTCAAATCACCTCTAGATTACTGATCATACCAAATACAATGTAAATGCTATATAAAGAATTTTTATAGCTTTTTTTTGTTTTTTTTTTGAGATGGAGTCTCACTCTGTTGCCCAGGCCGGAGTGCAATGGTACGATCTTGGCTCACTGCAATCTCCACCTCTCAGGTTCAAGTGATACTCCTGCCTCAGCCTCCCGAGTAGCTGGGACCACAGGCACGCACCGCCATGCCAAACTAACTTTTTTATATTTTTAGTAGAGATGGGGTCTCACTACATTGGCCAAGCTGGTCTCGAACTCCTGACCTCAAGTGATTTCCCCTCTCAGCCTCCCGAAGTGCTGAGATTACAGGCATGAGCCACCACGCCCAGCTTGTAAGTAGTTAATATAACGTGACATGAATTTCACTCCAATTAAAAAAAGAAGGGCCAGACACGGTGGTGTGCACCTGCGATCCCAGCTACTCCGGAGGCTGAGGTGGGAGGATCGACGGAGCCCAGGAGGCTGGGGCTGCAGTGAGTCAGTTTCACATCACTGCATTCCAGCCTAGGCAACGCAGCAGGATCCTGTCTCTAAAAATAAGATAAATCACACACACCATTTTAAAAAGAAAAAACTGCTACGGTACATGGGGAACACACAGTGGTAAGGAAACAGGTCGAGGGACCCCATCTAACTAAACGCAGCCCACACTGGAACCTCATCCTGCAATCCCCCGACTCTGCATTACCATCGTTGCTGCCACAGTGACCCAAGCGAGACGTGGGCTCCTATCGCCGCACGCCCTAAGCGCTAAGCAGAGTAAACCAGAAGGCAAGGTCACGAGAGCCTGGAAGCAAACCGAGCAGCGTGTGGAAAACTCCGCCAAGACGTCCTGCTTCTGGGTGTGAAATGCCCACGCTAGACGCAGAACGGTAAACGATTTATTCCAGGAGGTTCTTTTTTTTTTTTGAGACGGAGTTTCGCTCTTGTCACCCAGGCTGGAGTGCAATGGCGCGATCTCGGCTCACCGCAACCTCCGCCTCCCGGGTTCAGGCAATTCTCCTGCCTCAGCCTCCTGAGTAGCTGGGATTACAGGCACGCGCCACCATGCCCAGCTAGTTTTTTTTATTTTTAGTAGAGACGGGGTTTCACCATGTTGGCCAGGATGGTCTCGATCTCTCGACCTCGTGATCCACCAGCCTCGGCCTCCCAAAGTGCTGGGATGACAGGTTTGAGCCACCGCGCCCGGCCTGCAGGAGGTTCTTAAGATCTCCTCTGTCCTCTGGTTATTTCAAAGCCAGAAGAGAAGACCAGGTGTGGTGGCTCATGCCTGGAATCCCAGCACTTTGGGAGGCCGAGGCGGGTGGATCACCTGAGGGCAGGAGATGGAGACCAGCCTGACCAACATGGTGAAACCCCGTCTCTACTAAAAATACAAAAGTTAGCCAGGTGTGGTGGCGCGCGCCTGTGATTCTGGCTACCCTGTAGGCTGAGGCAGGCAGGAGGGTCGCTGGAAACCAGGAGGCGGAGACTGCAGCACCGCACTCCAGCCCCGAGCGAGACTCCATCTCAAACAAACAGACAACCCAGAAGAGAACTCGGCTGGGCGGCCCCTAGCAGTGCACGTGACAGTGACAGTCACTACCCTTCACTTGGACACACATGCACGGGAGTCCCTGCAGCCCAGGGGATGCCCGGA